GAGATGTTTTCTGAGCTGAGGGGTGCCCAGTTCTGGGGAAGCACAGTGAAGTGATCACAGAGGCACCCCACTCAGTCTAGGACAACGGTTCTCAACCTGTGGGTCGCGACCCCTTTGGGGGACAAACGACCCTTTCACAGGGGTCACCTAAGACCATGCATCGGAAAACACATATATAATTACATATTGTTTTTCTGATTAATCACTATGCTTTAATTATGTACCATTTGAAACAATGAAAATACATCCTGCATATCAGATATTTATATTATGATTCATAGTAGTAGAAAAGTTACAGTTATGAAGTAGCAACAAAAATAATTTTATGGTTGGGGGTCACCACAACATGAGGAAATGTATTAAAGGGGTCGTGGCATTAGGAAGGTTGAGAACCACTGCCCTAGAGTCTTTTAAACTACCATGTAATACTCCAGGGAGACCGCAACACTAGATTAGATTTGACTCTCAAGGGTATGATCTTACTTACTTATCTGCAGAGGTAAATCTAAGCATAACACTGTGAGTTCACAGCCTTTCTGTTCTGTAACTAAACGTTGATATGTCTGTTTAAAATGAAGCTGCTACCTACCTGCCCCATAAGCATGTTGCTTCTATTCCGGGAGAAAAAGCATGATAGAAATGTTTAACAAACTCTCACTGTGCTCCATGTTCCTTTTCCCAATTGTATACAGATGAAGAAGCTATGGTTGCTCATTGCACACTCAGCATTAGCAAAATGATCTGACCCTTGTCTTGAGGACTCTCATGAGGCATCTCTCTGATGAGAAGAAAGGTTACTCCAATATTCACACAAACTTCCTCCCACCCCACAGGGAACGCCTACCGGAAAACACACAAGCGAGTAAAGCAGCTCAAGGCGACTGCAACATTGCTCTCACACAGCCCTGGGGGAGGAGGGCCTGGCCATCCTCATTAATTGAGCAACCTATTGGATTTCACATCCATCTCCGTGCAAGGTGATGGCACTTAGGGGTACAGAAATTTACTTATTATGTTATTCAATCCACATCTATTACCAATACACATATTCTCACATATCCACACATCATCTCTCCTGCTTAATTAGTTTATAAAAAGACATCTCTCCTGACAGAAGCCAAATATACTACGCACACAGGAAATGCAGGCCTCATTATGGAGTCCCAATGGAATGCATTCCTGAAAACCAGAGAAGCAAGGAATGTTGGAGAGGGAGGAGGTCTGGCAACAAGGCAATGTTCAACCCTCCATCTCCTCAGACCTTCGGTAAACCGGAAGGCATCTGACACACGTGTCTTAGATAAATCGTTTGGGAGATGGGGGAGATCATGTAAGAAGAGTCAGGACAGAATTAGACAGCTACAGGAGGAAAGGAGAAATGAAATAGGAGGAAGTGGAATCTGGAGCCACTGTCATTGGCAACCACAGTGACAGGTGGGTCATAGGGGCTGCAGCTGGTTATAATAGCACACGGCTGCCTTGGTCATCTCCATTCAGATGCACATGCTTGCAACTAAGCTGAACAACTGGCATACCTGCAGCTAAACTCCACATACCTGTCACCCACCAGAGTAAACTGGTACCCGGGAACCATGAACAAGTCGAAAGCATCAACCCGCTCACCAAGGCCAGCAGAATTGCACCTCTGTGGGAAAAAGAAGAAAAAAGACATGCCATAAGACTTCTGACATTACTAATATTTCATGCCCCATCAGTGAAAAAGAAAAATATCTCCTACTTCTGGGTACAGCCAAGAGATAAAATGAGATATTGAGAGCCCATGGGAACCCATGCTATATACAGTCAGAACTCTAAGTAAATCATATGTGCAGTCTCGTGCTCAGTAAAGGACGTAAGTTTCCTCAGACTATTAAATTATAGTCCAAACTGGCCATGTGACTCATTTTAAGTGGCCCTGCCAAAGACAAAAATAAAAAGTTATTGGGAATAGTTTTTATTTAGTTTGCCTCTTCTCTCCTCTGCCTCAATAATGCCTTTATCTGCAGTTTCTGCCTTCCTGAGACCTCTGTCAGTTGGATAAGTAATTAATAGTTGTGTTTTTTGGTTTTTTTTATTGATTTTTTACAGAGAGGAAGGGAGAGGGATAGAGAGTTAGAAACATTGATGAGAGAGAAACATCAATCAGCTGCCTCCTGCACACCCCCCACTGGGGATGTGCCCGCAACCAAGGTACATGACCAGAATCGAACCTGGGACCCTTCAGTCCTTAGGCCGATGCTCTATCCACTGAGCAAAACAGGTTAGGGCAATAGTTGTGTGTTTTTAAAACAATCACACACTTTCATTCATTCGCTGATTTGGCAAAAACTTGTAAAAGGAAGAAAAAATAATTTAACTTAATTTTTGTGGGGAAATCCCGCAGCAATAGCAGCAAAGACAGGGCACTCAACCAAGTAGCTATAATGTAAATTAGCACTTACTACCTTGTAAGCACTGTTTTCAGATATTTATGTTTAATTACATTAGCTCATTTAATCCTCCTGAGTTTGTAGGTAAATGCTATTGTAATTTGCAGAGGAGGACACTGGGGGAAAGAGCACTTAAGTAAGTGGCTGCGGTCCTACATAGCAGCGCACATATGACAGAGATTCCCAAAGAGGCACTCGGGCTCTGGAGTGGGGCTC